ACCTGGGTCATGTGGTGAGCGAAGAAGGGATTCACACTGATCCTGACAAGATTGCGGCGATTAAAGAATTGACACCGCCAACAAACACACGCGAGTTACGGCGCTTTCCTATTACGTTGCATAATGCACATAGATAATCTATTTGTTTATGCAATCATTTTCATCATTATTTAGTACGATTAGCTGCATATTTCGGGATGGCCACGTGCATGGTAACTTCACGAAGGTGTTGTTTGCTTGTTCCAACCAGTTTTCGGCGGTAAATTTTCAGCCTCAGGACGGATGTGCCCAATCTAAGCGAAACGCTGCACCACTATAAACTATAACAAGGAGCTCTAAGAATTTGTACATTTTTTACCTTCCTCTAAGTTTATGCTTCCATAGTGCTTTCATTGACGATAAGCTACTTTTTAACTATTCTTTTGTACATATGTCCTCTGAAAAGGACCCAAATTAAAGCAACGTCCTAGATCTATAATAATATCTCATGGAACACTGCATATAATGCCAAATTTTTTTGCGGTAAGGTAATTTAAGGTATTTTAAATTACTACACACTTATTAACAGCTATGCTGATACGATGAATTAAGTAAATTTAACTTGCGTGGTGTTATTTTTTAATGCATAAAAAATTTCTTTAAAAAATAATAAAATTTCCAAAACAATAATTTGTTGAGGTGGCAGTGATACTCGAGCAATTTACGAAAAGTATAAACGTCATAAGCACAGTTTATGTCAAAAAATTTCAAAGTGAAACTACCTTCTTTTTTGGTATCATGTCTAAATCTTTGAAATTAAAATTATATTGTATTCCATGGTGAAATAGGACTTGGAGAACTGTCCTTTTGGATGGGACTTACTGGGTATGTACAACCATTCTTGATTGCAGAACTGGGTGAGTAAGGGTTTGAGCTCTTTGAGGTAGAGCTTTTGTCCTTTGATGTCGGACTTAGAGGGTGGGTATTCACGTTTTTCGGGATTGAACTTGTAAATTTGGGGTTTTCACTGACTGAGGACTGAATATTTATTCGATTGTCAACGACAATCATATAATGCTCATAGTGAGTTTCAAACGCGTCCCAGGCGAGCTCGAAATTCTTGCCATTTAAAGCAAAGTTTTTTATAAGGAGAGCGGCTACTCCGCTTCTGTTTCAAGTGGTACAGCTTTTGAATCGCAGAAAATTTGGGATTTTTTATGTACAATGCTCTGAATGTGCCTTTGAAGTTTGGTCAGTCTTCATATCCTCCATTGACAACTTCACAAGCAGGTACTTTGGGAAAATTGTACGAATCGGGTCGAATTCGGGATATCGACATGCTCTTAGTTAGTCTCGAGTTTGTCTGGAGTTGACTGAGTATCTCGTGTATCTTCAACTTAGTGTTGAAGCCGAAGTCATTGGAATTTTCATATAATGCATTGCACTTATCTCGGATCCTTTCGTCTATGTTGCTAAGCTGCATGTTTTCGTTCGCGGCGTCCACCAGAGCCATGTGTTGGTTGAGCTGATCCAAGTTTTTCTTGAGTTCTGCGTCGGTATGGTTCGTTGCGCTTATTTTCCACCAGTCGCAGAATTTATCAAGCCTAGTTATTTCGTAGAGAAGATTTTTATGATTATCTTCGTCGGTCTGGGGATTTGACCAAGTAAGATAACCTTGTTGAGTTTGGGGTAAATGAGTTTGGCATTTTCCTGTTTGTCTTCTGCCATTTTGAGTTTTGAGATTTATTGAGTATTAAGAGGGGGCCTTTTTTGTTAGTGGGAGTCTTTATTTTGATTTATTTTTATCTTAATTATTTATTTTTATTCGTTAGGGTTTTATTTAATAAATGTTTTTATTTAATTTAGTGCTTTGTGCGAATATTATTGTGCAATATTTTTGCTCCACACTGTACTGTTTGTTAAACCGCAAGCTCAACTTGTTTACGTATGTCGACCGCTTATATACGTGGGTATGTATGTATGTACATATGTCACCCACTAGCTGCTAGTTAGAATAGCGAATGAGTGGGGAACAGTAAAAATAAGAAATATCACTGTGGGGTTGGAGCGGAGTATGTACGATATGCTTTGTATGTACGTTTGTGTACCTGTCGCATGTAAATTGTGTTTGCTATGCGATCAGTGAATATCGAGAACTTTGGGTGTAATTTGCTTTTATTTATTTGAGATGGGGAATTGGGCAATAGAATTGGGCACAAAGACGCACAGGTTAATGTCTGTATGCACCTGTGTGTAGGTATGTATATATGAACATATATGCATGCGTTTGGGGAGCGTAGCGGTGACTTTGCTTACATATTACCCAGTGCTAGTTTGGCCAAGTATATTTATTACGCGCGTGTACTTTTTGGAATGCGTTTGGGAGCAGTTTCATATATATATGTACGTGGAGAGATATACATATGTATAGGGGTTATATACGTATGAAAATGTATCTATGTATACTTAGCGGATTTTGTTTTTTTTTTTTGAGTATGGCTTAAGAGGAGATGCGTGGGTTTTTAAAATATAAATATTAATATATACATATATGCGCAAAAATTTGCGGTAAATCAAATTGTGGGTTTCTATTTTTACCATCTTTGGGGTCCGCTAAGTATATATACGTATATAAATGAGTTAGTTTAGCGGATTTTTAAATTTTGAGGTTATATTCAAATGCGCGGGAATGGTCGCAAAAATATATGTGTTGATAGAGAGCGTTATTTGCTGTACGGTGTATGAAGCAGGGAGGTTTTCAAACACCGTTTTGGGAAAATCCGCTAATTTTTTTTGTATGTGAATAAGTAAATGATGCACTTACTTTGACATTCCGTTTCTTTGTACAAACCACTGAGTTTAGGGGTGCTTTTTAATTGATTTGGATCCGGCCTAATGTAATCCGATACTGCTGTGTGGGTGTTGATATGTATACGGCTGCGACTTTTTGCCGATGCTGTAGGGCTATGTGCCTTTTGTTTTTGGGCGGTCTTTGGCAGGCGACTTGCTAGAGTTTTTTGCCTTCTGCCTGCTGTGCGGTTACAGCTAATCGCCTGTTTGTGGCGTTGTTGGGCGTCTACTTGCCAAACTAGTTGCTGCTGCTCTGCTGCAGAGATGTTTTGGAGTTGCGCTGTTAACTGCTTGCTGAGAGGTTGTTGTTGGGCGGCCAATTTTGGACGGTTTTTGTGGCGCTGTTGTTTGCCGGTGTTTGCGCGACTACTTTCTGTTTTGTTGTTGGGCGACCAAAAATATTTTTTTGTATGTGTGTGTGTCGCTTCACTCTGTACAATCAACTTTATTTTTCAAACTTTTAATTTGTGTACACGTTTTTTTTTTTGCAAAATTGTCCACTTGAATGTTTTACTATTTTTTTGTTCACTGCATTTAGTATTATAATGTGCGCAACTATTATGTGCGTATGTATTTTGTCAGCCGTCTTATATTTGGCAAGTATTTGTGTTATATGTACATTCAAGGTTTGTATTTAAACTTTTGTTGTGTCGCACCAACTTTATAGCTTTTACCCTAGATTTTTTCACTTTTTTTATTAATTTATAATTTCAATTATTTTTCACGAACTTTCTCGTATGTATATGTAAGTACTTGGGCGCATACCGTTGACGCGACTTAACTTGCTGGCCGCTACTTCGCTCGCTACGCTTTCGCTTACTTGCTTTTTAACGCAGTTGGGAGTTTCTTTGTATGTTTCTTTTGTTCTTTTTAATTGGGTTTCGGCACTATGTTCGCGCTTTGGCGAATAAATAAAATAATTATAGTTTATTTCTGTTGAAACAAAAGAGTTCATTTTTCGTTTTTAACATCTTTAATTTAATTATTCCAATAATTTTATTACAATAAATATAAACGAGAGGGGTTTGAGGTCCGTCTTCGGGGAGGTGTAGCGAACGATTAAACTAATTTCTCTCTTGCCTTTTAGGCAGCTTAACATTAGTTATTACACATGATTCAATAATGAAAGATTTTGTAAGTAGCTTTTTTCTAAAAGTTGACACTCCCACCGACAGGGATGGTTTTTAAAAGCAGGAAAAAGGGGAAGAATTCAATCATACTTCCTAAAATGGTAGCTGAATTCCGCAAAAAGGTTGGCATAACAGTGCATAGTGGTAGTTTAATTTAAACCAGCTTATTTACATCGAATATAACTCAAGAATGGGTGGTCCACTTTGAGCTACTTTTTTGGTGTGTTTGTTTGCCTTGTTGTTTGGAAAAATTATGGATTTTTTATTAAAAAACGCCAAACAAAAACATTTGGAGCTTACGTCTCTTTCGCGGTTATGGCTCGATTGCTTCGAATATGGTAATTCGAATTCTTTGATGTTGCACTTTTAGTATTCTCGGGAAATTATGCCGCTGTCAGAATATTAAACATTGGCTTACACAGTCGCGATTGGCGCTTCGTGCCGGACGACGGACGGTTCCATATTGCGTACTTTTAGACACCACGGCTTTTTAGAGAATTTTAGCGACGGAAATTTAGCGTAGCCATTGTCAGAATTCCACTACAGTAGGGATGCATAGCGGAGGTGCTCGCAGTCGACGTCGCGGTCAAACTGCGAGCACGCGAGCGTGCTAGGCGAGGTGAAGTGAGCTGTACGGAGCTGTGAGCTGTTGACCGATCACACCTGATGTATAAACCCATCATGGCTGATAAATCATATTTGATGTGCAAACCTATCACAGGTGAGCAATCATGCTTGATGCACATACCCATCACAGTTGATCCGAATATTAAAAAAAAATTTGATACATACATTAATTTTCACTTCACATTTATTACATATGTTAATTTTTGTTAATTTTTAATTTAATTTAGTTAATTTTGTTTTGTTGTTTGTTTTTTTAAATATTTTTTTTGTTGAACGCGATGTTGGCTCAGTTCTACCGCCTTTCGCACACTTCTTTCGAAGTTGAGGGCCCCTTGTTTCTGGAATACATCTGAAATGAAATGCAAAAAGATATCTTATAACAATAGCTTTTCTTTGGTAGATTAAAGAAAGTACCTCGCAGAATATTATTAATAAAATTAAGTTTATTAAGGGCCTGTTTCTCCCATGTCCCGTCCCAATTGTAATTGTGAAGCAGGTCATCCGTGAAGATGCCGCGAATGACAGGGCCGACATCTTCTGATGTCCCCTTCATTTTGTTCAAATATGAAGTCTATAAAAAAAGAAAATAAATTTATATGGGTATAATATTACAATAATGAGTGTTACCATTGCTTGGGCAAACTCTTGAACTTGAAGCCTTTCTTCCACATTCAGCACCCCAGTGGTAGTTGCTAATGGGAGCATGCTGGTGACCTCGTTCATGAACGTGTCCTCCAACTCTCCCGTCAGGCGGCAAACGGACATCTCAATTTTTCTAACCGCCACCTTACACTCTCTTAGCGCCTTCGTCTGAGCCATCGCCTCCGGGTTCTTTTCGATCTGGTGAAAATGTTTTACATTAATAAACGTGTAGGAGTAAAATTACCACATTCTTACACTTATATTTATTTTCTCTAGCTCCTTAGCTATCTCCTCTTGGTTGGCTACAATACTAGCCAATCCCTGGCTAAGAATGGCTTGATTTTGCATTACAGTCGTTTGCTTAAGTATGAGAAGTATTTTTACAATGAGAAAATACATTTATCAAAAACAGAAACGCAAATTACATTTTCCTCTAACTTTGCCAGCCGTGCGTTGGACTCCTTTTGCCCATTCAGGACTTCCCTCAAAGCTTTCAGAATATCTTAAACGAAAATATCAAATAAATAATTAATTACTATAGGCGAAATTCGTTTTTTGCGTACCATTTTGAGATGATGCCGATGTCTCCGGATGCGGATCACTTAAAGCGTCATACGATTTTTTTGGCAAAATTGCTAAAAAGAAAACTAAACTGATATATAAGTTTTTGTTTATTAATTTATTTGCTTACTGTTTTCTTGGCTATCGAATGACTCTTCAAAAATATTGCCGGATATATCCATGTATTAAAAAATCAAGAATTGTTATTAATATTGTTATTATACTTATTTTTATTATTATTTTGTTGTCATTTTTATTATTAATATTTTTGTTAATATTTAAGAGTATTATTATTATTTTTTTTATTATTATTATTATTAGTAGTAGTTTTATTATTATATTTATTGATATTATTGCTTTTATTTTTGCTTTTATTTATTTTCAAGATTAATTTAAATGCAATGCTTAGATTAGTGTGCAAACTCATGAAATAGATGGTGAAGAAGGGGAATAAGAAGAAACTTGTTGCCTATAGGTATGGAAAAATATTTGAATTCGATATCTGTAACCGGAACTACTGTGGTTTCACTACTCAATTCTCCAGCAACAACTATACCTAAACCACTAAACGACTGCAGAGGTTGCTCGAAGTAGTTTTCCGTATTTTGGAAAACTTTGCATACAAAATTCTCGGGGCTCACTTGGTCCACTACTTTGATGGGTCCTGTCTTCATAGTGAAACCAAAGCTGTCTTTTCCTTTTTTATGGGAAATACTAAACGACCCTATTTTCGAAGCATTTCTCGAAACTGATTCAAGTCCCTGTCTTTCTTCAAGCCTAAGAAATATCTGTTGCAGAATTTGATTGGGTTTATTTATAATTTTTTTAATAGACTGCATGTAGTTCTCATATTTGTAGGCTGCAAAGGAGTCTAGTGGTCCAAATTGTTTTACGCAATCCGTTAAATGGAGAAGTCCATGGACGTTAAAGCTTACTAGCTCGTCACCATATAATGTTCCGAAAAATTTTACGAAATCTTCTAAAAGCTTTTGGGAAATATCTGCGTCTCTTTGATGCGACCTTTCATTGGACAGCAGTCTTATACCGCTATGCAATAGTAGGAAGTGATAATATTGATCACTACTAATACAACCTTTCAAAACGGTGTACAGCAAAAATTGCCTAAACTCTGTGGACTTCCAATTACTTATGTCATTTAAATTTCTAGGCACACGACAAAATTCCGATGGAACAAATTTAGCGACAAAATTAAATTTATTATTTAAGTTAATTAAATTTGATTTCTTAATTAAGAGTTTAAGCATTTTTTTTGTCACCCCCAAATCGACGAGATGCATGCTATCCAGGGGGAACTGCGAAACCATTCCGAACCCGGATTCCTCCAACAAACTCTTTTTGGTTTTGAATGGTTCTATGTGGTGCGCCAGATCGCGTCTAAGCTCAAATGTAGAATCTGACCTTAAACCTCTTACCTCTTTCAGAAAACACACTCTTCTATTTTTATATAGTCCTTCCTGATCGCATTTGGGACAACCATTCTTGCTATTGTGAGATACGATACCAGTCACGAATGCTCTGGCTGGAGTGTCACAAACGAAGAGACGGACATTGAATCGCAACCTATTTTGGTTGGGGCCCACTTTGATGCCATTTTCTTTAAGTAACTTTACTTCTGTACAAAAGTCCGCCATAAAACTATTTATATTTTCGGGCTTCTTGAAACCCGAGAAACAACCGATCATGAAAGGACTAACTTTAGGAAAGCCCACAATCGCATTTTTCATTCCTACCAATATTTCTCACAGGGTAAGAATCAATACCCACGGAAGAGGAAGCTACAGGATCTAATTCAGTTTCCGAAGCACTGTCAGTTTCACTCCACCCACGCTCAATGAGAAATGAATCATCTGAACATATGGATGATCCGGGCTCAGGAAGCACATTTTCACCGACGCTTGGGGTAGAAAGGCAACCACTTGCGGAAGGCGATTCTGTGGGCTCAAATATTACATCTCTACCTGGCTTTAATAAAGAAGCACCTGCAGAAGTGGATGCTCCTGACTCCCAAACCAAATGACCACCATCACCTCCACTTGCAACACCATCACTTCCACTTGCAACACCATCAGCACATTGCATTTCTAATAATCTTTTAAATTTTTTCACATCGGACTCAAATGCCCTTTTTTCTTTTGTTATGCAATTTTGCAAGTGCCTTTTATTCATTTTACTTATCTTTCTTAAATTCCGCTTCTGGTAATTCCACCTTTTTAATATTTTAATATTTTAATTTTATCCACTCGCGCGCTTTTGCAGCTTACTTTTCTTTGATTTCTTTTTAAAGTTCTTTCTTAATAAAAAAATGCAACTCTGGCGAATGTATTAGTTGTTTCACTCTTGCATATACATAAAAAAATTGTAACAATGGTCTCTTTTTAACCAACGCAAAAATATTAGAAAGGTTTGCAAATGTGTTAGCGAGATAAATGAGAATGTGTTAGTTTCCATCACACAATTCTTGTAGGGTATCTTAGGACTTAATTAAAATAATCAACATTATTTGTAGACGAATATATTTGTGTTCGTATGAAATAGTAGCTTATGTCGGGAGGCTGGCTTTAGTAAAATGTACCATTTCCTATATTCTTTAAACCACAAGGAATTTTTTTATGAGACTTTATACGAATATTGACTTGCTAGCATCGCAACTGCCTCTTTTACGTTTATTTTCCAAGAGTTCTTCAACGACTCGGCGCCAGTGAGTCTTTCGCAATCGTATGCTGCGAATGGTTCATTATACTAAAGCCAGTCTTCCGACATAAGCTACTATTCTATACGAACACAGATATGTATACTTCCTAATAGGCTTGTAAAATGCCCAATACACAAATCCCTCGCACGAGTTATTATCGGTAAAAAATTGGGTACGCTCAAATCTGGCATCGCTGCAGCAAGTACTTTGTCACGCCAGTGAAACAGTGTTGATATTTTAGGTACAATTGTACTTTTTTCAGTACAATTAATTTTAAAAGTAAAAAAGTACAATTTGCCGATTTTGAGTACAATTTCAAAATCAAAAATACTTTTTGTACCAAACGCTCAAATCTCTTCTAGCACTTTGATTCTTAATCCGTTTACATTTAAGTAAATGGATATACCTATATTTCATATTTGCTACAAAATGAAATTATGAATGTAAACGTGATTGTGAACAGTAATATTAGTGATGTGCGTTATGGTGATTGCGATTTCTTATCACCGGCGGGTGAAATATCCCTCATCGCTATTTATTTTGATAAAATCTTTGGAAATGCAATTTACCTAATGGCGATCCTGCAGAAATAGAAGTAATTGAGCAATTCGGGGGTTGAAAGTAAAAGAATATATGTAAATTCCCTGCGTTGAAATTATAAATTTCCGTTGAGGATTTCCATTTTATCGATAGTGATCTCATTTTATGTTCATTTATATAAACTGACCTATATAGTGTATTAATGTTTTATCAACATTGTCCTAATCTTTGACAAAATTACACGGTCACTCGGTATTTATTTTATTTTTTTAAATAATTTCAATTATTTTTTTTTATAAAATTGTAGCTCATTGTCAAACAAAAACCTTGCAAATAAATCGAAACTTGAAAGAATGAAAAAAATCAACAAAGTTTCATCAAATTTTCACAGTTTTTGTTCAGAATTTGTAGACATGTTTTGGGTTAACAGTTTTGTAGCCCATTCATTCTAGTATAATAAGGTGCAAGTTTGAAGTGTCTAGAAAATACCATCGATTTTTTGAATTTTTCTGTTTGCGGTGTTGCGCACTTTCTTCCATATAACGTACGTTCGCATTTTATGTTATATGGATGAATGCGCATGTAGCGTTGTTGTTTTTTATTCCAATATTTTAAATTAAGCTTTATTTCATGGTTTTTATTAGACAATGATAAATGATGTACACAAATTTCAGTATGGAAGAAAAAGTGCAACACCTTCAAGGAAAAAAGTTCTCAAAAATCTACGCGAATTGAATGTACTATCTCGATCATTTAAACATCTCGGACTCGCCCACCACTAAAAATGATTATTTAAATCTAAAGTATATGTAGCGACTTGCGCCTCTACAAATAGTTACTCATACTCAGAGATTGGTTTTGAAGTAGAGTACCAGCCTAATGAATTAAGGGCAGTGCGGCCCATCATCATCTACTCAGCACTATGACATTTGACGATTCATCAACTTCGCCGCTCAGCTTTCTAATCTCTCGATTGGTTCTCTTTCTTCTTTGGCGGACCAGCACAGACGACGGACGTTTCATCAGCTGCACTCTCCCCGGCTAAAATAAGTATTTTACCCGATTTAATTGAGCTGTGATTTTGTGATTTTAAATAAATTATTAAATAACGTAGCGGGTCTTGTTTTCTCGCTATCGAATGCAAGTCAACCGCTACAGTGGTGACCCCGACGTGATTTTTT